GAAAATAGTACTGAAATAGCCTGTAGGACAGATAACAGCAGCATGATTATCTCTAGTTAAGCTTCACTGCAAAACAAAGAGCCTTGAAACAAGCAGCAGGACATCCATGAGTAGAAAGCAAGAGATGTCTTGCAGAAAGCAAACTTCTTTGACTCAGAAGTTACATAGAGCAGAAGTTAAAAGGGAGATAACAGAGCACTGGGAGATGGAAACCAAGCAGGTAGGAGTGAGACTGGAGCAGGCACTTATTTCAATTATAGGAGACATATGGGAAATAAGAGTTTCCTCCTCTGCTTAATTTCTTTCACTGAAGTAAATGGACTACCTAACAGACTGTACATTCAGTTCATCGGTGAGTTTGGGATTAGCAGTGGCAGTCCATATAAAGGTGCTAGAAAATGGTCTATGCAAAAAGAAACTGTAACCTTCCTACAACATCATCTCCAGCGTGTGATCCAACCTGCTCTGCAACAAGTCTAACAGCAGCATGGCAGGCACCTTCTAAAAAGAAAGATGGAACTCTATTTATTCTTCCCTCCCATCAATAAATGCAGACAGATTTTCATCATCCTTAGAGTCTCCTGTCATCTGAAGCACCTTTCCTGGGAGCAACACTTCCGAGCCATTACCAGCAGGCAGAAGGGCTAGGAAAGAATGTATTTATTTTATCCTCAGCTGTTGCATCTGATCTCCTCCCCATCCTGTCCCTCCTTCCTGCTTTTCTGTCACCTTTCACTTCCTATTATCTGCCTTTAAAAGTGCTTAACTTTCCACTTCCTTATGCAAGAGGAGATGAGAAGAAAGGATCTCCTGTCATTGAGATGGCTCTGTAGCTCACACACTGCTCTACAGCAAGGCCCAACTGCAGAGGCTCATTACAGAGCTGCTCTTCTCTTCCCCCAGCCCCAGAGATGGAGCAGGACTGACCATGTCTTCTCCCACAGACAAAGGAGCTGGCAAAAACTCTTGGCTGAAAATGTTTTTACAAGCAGGAAGACCACACAGGTCACCACGCCAGCCTTGTGCGCCTTCTGTGCTGTGTCACATGGAGAACCGCCCTGCTGATCCTGGTGAAGCACTCATGTTCTGGGCATGCTCATAATTTCCACTGCTAAGCCTTTAAACTAAAATAAATTCATCGATTTTGGATAGTGTGAGTGCAGATAGCTGCCTTTACCCTAACTGAGCACTAGGTAGCACTGTCACTCCAAGAAAGTGAAGAAAAGCACATCATGGCAACCGTTTTTCCCTTTCAAGACCAGAAAAGAAAGGACTGCATTATCAAACACGTATTTGCAAAACTACTGAAAATACACCTACAATTGAAGCGTTCTCATCACTTCAGATGTGCAACAGTGGAGTTTTTCAAGATTTTATTTTTCCTTTTTTTTTGACATCAGAATTTATGATCTTAAATCTGCACAAAGCGATACTGAGATTTTGCACTGATGTTTTATGTTTGCAACCATTTGATGTTAGAAAATACAATTCCACAGAACAATCACTCAGTAGTCAAGTTATCTGGAGATCTAGCAAATTATGTCCTCTGCCTGCCACCATCCTAAAAAAAGAAATAACAATCAGAAGGTGGCAATAACTAGCTGAACACAAGCCTCTTTAGACAGTATAAATATTAAACCAAGACTCAAGAGCACTAAAAAAAATGGTGGGTTTTCCATAACTTTTGCAACTTATTAGTAACCTACTTTAGCAAGTGGTTCTGGATGGGTGTGTACTGAATGTCACTGCTCCAGCACAGTTTCCAGGAGTCTCTGTTTTGGTCCTCTGCTCAGAAATCCTCTGTACCTTCCAACACTTTGGAATGCATAATTTTATTTATAATATATAATTATTTTAGATTCAGCACTTAAATTTTACTGCAAGTACCTAATTTGTATCTAAAAGCTTATCCTCTCCAGAAAGAGTCTGACAATAAACCATATGTTGAAAGGAAGCACTTTTCCTGCTAATTTAATCATGTTTGGGTTGTAAAATGCAGCTACAACTAAGGAGCTGTTCCTGAAACCACAAAGATCTTCTTCTATTCAGTATCTTGAGAATCTTAATGGCTTTGTTTTTCCTCCTCTGTTAATAGAAGAGCAGCTTAAATGAAGGAAGGATGAGAATTGGAAGTCTTCAGTGACTAGGCAATAGAGGGTATTTCAAAGCTCATATATGGGAAAAGATTATTTTCTCAATTTCTAGCATATAGAAGGGAAAAAATACTGAATTTCCAACTTCAACTGTAAAAGTCTCCTTCATCTTCTCTTATGTGTGCCCAGCTAGTCCCAAACCCTCGCTCACAGAAGCATCATCTCAATGCAAGCTGATGGCAAAGCTACAGGCACTGACCATCATAATTGAGGAAAATTTTTTCAACTTCCCTTCCCAAGGCTTGTGCAAAGGTACCTGCACCTCGAGAATGATACTGACATGACAAAGCTAAAAATAAAAATCCAACTCTTTTGTACCCAGAAAAACAAAGTAATCTCTTCCCCTCCCACTGACCCAGTATGGAAGGTGCAGATCCAGCAGAGCTCCTGTACCAGGTGGGACAATGTGCTTGTGATCTGTTCTTGTTACCATTGGGAAGGATTTCTTCCCCTTTCCCGGGAGCTATGTCTCACTGTGGCTATTCTCATGTTCATGTCTTGACTGCAGCAGAAACAGATACACAGGATGCAATATTCAGATTTATGAGCTGCATTTGCACATCACTTTGAAGCAAGATGCTTGCCTACCATTAGAGGTATATATCCTATACTTTGGGAATCTTTACCTTCAACCAGGCATGTGTGTGTTGAATAACTGACATGTGTCATTTCAAGACACTATCCAGGCAGGAAGATAACTCCTTAAGTTCTGATTCAGATTTGAAATGTCTTTTACAATTGTGAAAAAAAACCATGAGTTTGACACACATCCTCTCCCCAACCCTGAAAAATAAAATTCAATAAGCCAATGTCTCAGTTTGGCTCTTTAAGGGAAATTTTGCTGAATACAGACAATAGCTAAAGTCAGGATATCCTACATCTTAAAGATAGAGTCAACTGTAACTGACTCACCCTTCCCCTCATCTCAGTCTCTTGAACTCCTTAAGAACCAGCTAAAAACCTAGGCACTTTGCTTAATTTCAGAAAACAGCAGCTAGAATGTCTCACCTTGCTGTTTTCTCATAATAGCCATCTCCCTGAATCCTTCCTATTTCAGTTCATCAAGCTGCAACACTTCATCTCAGAAGATCAGAGCTCTGCACTACCCAAGATCTCTGTGATCAGATCCCTGATGATGATTTAGAAACCATAATTTCCAAAGGTACAGCTGATGCTGCTGCAAGAATGCAAGTTCTGTAGGGCACAGAGCTGTATCAAATCCCACTGCAAAATTACTTATTAATTTTTTCCTATAAGCACACCCTTTTAAATTGGTCTGCGACACTGAATTAAGAGACCAGAGTTTTGGAGTCTGCTATGAAACAGCAAGTACTGAATAAATTTTTTAGCACATTCTCAATAACTTCTCTCAATTGTGAGTATTTCCTAGCAGGGCTTCTATTAAGCTCCTTCTAATATTCTCATGCAAGATTTAGCAAGTAAACACTGAATAAATGTGCTTTGGATCTGCATGAATAATTTCCTAGAGTACTACAGAACTTGAAGAGACGAAGTATTTTGTGAGAGCATTTTTGGTCTCTCAAACAAATTAAACCTCTCTGAATTTACAACATAATAAACATTATTCCATTTTCTAAACTGGGAAGAAGTGAGGTAGAATGTACATCTTTAGGAGAACAGTGTTTTGCAACAGAGAGATGATCCCACTCAAAAAGAAGTCTCACAGGATAGCTCCAATTCATGCATTGCATTTGTCTGAAAACATTGATCCTGTCAAAAAGAGCACCCAAAACTGAAAGAAAAACATTTTTCCTCATCTATGTTTCATTATTCATTGACTGATACTTCCAAGTATACTAACAGTAAGTCAGACACAGCCTCCTAAGCCTTCAGTGCTTTGAAAAAACTTCTGTTTTGCTAAAGTCATTTTAACTGATACATCATAGGAAAGCTGGGGAGGGACTTTTTACAAGTGCAGGTAGTGATAGGATGAGGGGTAATGGCTTTAAACTGGGAGAGGGGAGATTTAGACCAGATATTAGTAAGAAATTCTTTACTGTGAGGGTGGTGAGACACTGGCCCAGGTTGCCCAGGGAAGATGTGGGTGCCCCCTCCCTGGCAGTGTTCAAGGCCAGGTTGGACAGGGCTTTGAGCAGCCTGGTCTGGTGGGAGGTTTCCCTGCCCATGGCAGGGGTTGGACTGGATGAGCTTTAAGGTCCCTTCCAACCCAAACCATTCTATGGTTCTATGATCAGTTGCAGGAAGGAGATTATGAACAGAAGCTTCACAGTAGATATCAGTATGTGTGTGTGTGTGCGCGCGTGTGTGTGTGTCATAGCCTTGCTCACAGGCCCCTCCTTAAAAGAACTTCCTAAAAACAAAAAGGATAAATAAAATCTTTCAAAGGAGACCGCGTTTTTATCTGAAAAAGTAGATGGTGCTCCACAGTACAAAGTCTCCACTGGGTAGTGGTCACTAAGTGCTCTTACCCCAGAATAGCAATGACAAGAATTGGTAAATGTTAAAAAAGAGGGTAGGTGCAAGTCAAACAGGGACAGCAACCAAAAATATATTTGCTTTGAAATGATCATTTGGCTTTAACTTCCTCACAGAACAGACATGTTGGTATTGTCTTAGAAAACAACAGATAGTAAAAGAACTCCAAAATGAAGGAGACTTTTGCATTTTTTTTTTCCTCCCGCCCCTCCCATGCCACCAATATCATCACAGCCTTGTCTTTGCTACCAGGTGTAGCATGTGTGGGTGAGGGTGCCTTCAAACATAAATTACCAATAAACACACATTGTATTTAATGTCAGGGAATTAATTGAGCTTTCCAGAATGAAAGCCTTTTGGCACAAAAATGCTAAGCCAAGGTTGACCTACCTGAATGGGTCCCACTGACATCAGCAGGTTTTTCAGTTGGACATCAGTAGTTGATGAAGAAAGCCCTTCAACTGACACGATACAGGGCTGAGGTTTGCACTCCACCACTCGCAGGTTCTGTTTGTTTGGCATCAAGCGTCCTCGGCCCATCTGGCCTGCTACTCCTCTGCCTCTCCCGTGCATAATGACCTGCCAACAACAAAAGCAACAGTATTTTGATTTACTTACCTAGTGCTTCAGCACACTGCATTTGACAGACGATACAAAAGTTGGTGATTTACTTAAAGACTCGATTAAAATACACGTTGATTTAAAACAGCTTGTTGCTGTTTGCTGATTTGAAGGGCCACTTATTAACATATTCATCCACTGCTTATACAAACCTCTTTAAGAAGGATAGCAAGTTAAACATTGGGTTATATATGAAAATATATATGTAATTGAAGCTAAAAGCCTCAGTGTCAGCAAACACAAACCAAGTAATGGAGGGTCTCAGACCAAATTATATAGCCCAGTTCTCAACACTGATGACATTAGCAGCATGTGTTTAGCTGCTGTATTTTGAGTCTGACCAAAAAAAAACCAGCCAGTGATCCCCCTACTTTATTCTAACCCATGGAAAAATTTAATGTACCCACTAGACCAGCAAACTGCTTCAAGTGCCTTGTGTCTATTGCTACCAACTCTTGGGTTCTTATCAGGATGCACATGGTAAATATGCATATGGTAAATAACTTCAAAACAATGTTTCAAAGTTTCTTTCCTCCAAATCCTGGAGGATCTGGCACCACAGTATACTCCAAAGCAGGAAACGCGTGGATTTAATTCTTGTAAATTAAAAGTTGAACAGTTGGAGATAGAAAAAATAACAAATGAAACAGAGTAACAAACATTAAACAGAGTTAACACTTAACAGTCAGTTAACACTCAACACAGTTTCTAGATTGCTACTTGAAAAGCCTATGGAGGGTAACAAATTGTCACATCCTTCTGCATCAGCAATGAAACTTTATCCTTACACGAAGAAGGAACACTAAGGCCAACAATTCAAACCACAGAAAAAACTTGAAAGCCAAAATACAAGCTATTTTCAGGGAGTGAAATAGTTTGCAAATGCAGAGCAGGCACACACCAGTGCCACCCAAATTCTCTCCCTGCCTCCTCCCAGTGCACTATCAGTGAGAATATCCAGTTACGAGATCACCAACTATTTTAAGCAGTACCAACTTTGAGGATTGACTAAAGAGCATCCTGAAACAGACACTGTGAGCTCCTACGTATGCAGGAAACAGCTGGAAAAAAAGCTTAAGCACAACTTCAGAAAAACTCTTAGTTTTAAAGCCAGAAAGCATGCTGGATACCATCTCCTGCAATAGCTATCTTGGGATGCACGCATTTCCTCCAGGAAGTACCGTGCTGGCCAGAAAGTCAGCAAATGAAACAACCCGCAGGCATCTCTCCAGTCTGTGCTGGAGACAACCGGGTCTCTCTAGATTAAAAGCTTTATATGGAATTATGCATCTGCTGGGTCACGCAGCCCTGCGCTAGCAACTGACAAACAGAATGCTCATTATTACTAGAGCAACACAGCTAGACAGTAAAACTTCTAGCAGCAATACGCATCTAAAAATCACCTTTTTAGGTTGATGGATTCCCTGGATGTTTTTGACTCCTTGAGGAGCTGGTGAATGGATCTGTGCCTGCTGCTGCTGGTACTGCTGCTGTTGCATTCCCTTTGTCAATGTGACCTTCCGCACTGGCTGCTGTTCCTGCTCCGGGGGATGTTGAGGCCGCTGGGGCTGGCCCTCTGGGTGAAAAAAGCCAGCATCCTCTCCCCCCTGCTGAAATCAACAACACAACAGGCGGCTCAATGTCCAGGCACCGCAAACCCTCGCCCTGGGCAGCCTCGTGCCACATCCAGCTCGCTCCACGCACAGAGGACGCCCAGCGGTTTCTGCCTGCTGAAGCAAACCAGTGGCCATGGCAGGCGTGCGCAAGGGCTCAGCCTGGAAACTGCGCTTCAATCTAAAATAAATCCACAGTACCTGAAGTACAGTTTACTTCATTCAGAGTTTATTACCACTACCATGTTCAATAATGCCTTTTCATATATAAAGACGTGTTCTCACTTCTTTTTCCAAACCATTGCTGCATCTAGGGTTACATGTGGACTAAAGTGTGCATTCTTTTAGTTTTCTTAACTATTTTTTTATATTATTATTTTTAAGAATTCCATTTGCTCCTTCCATTGCAGAAGAAGGAGCAAAGAGCTGTGAAGGTTGGAAGAACCAGGTAAATACTCTGCTCATCTTTAAAACTCCAACCTCTCTTTAGTTAAAAACTGGTATTTATTTTGAAGTGCATATTTATTCTGCCATCTTCTATACCAGCAGCCTGTTAAGCAATCTTCTTCCACTGCTGTACTTAGAACAGTTCTTCCCCAAGGGGTTTTTGTTTCATAAAGCTCTTGTTATAGATATTTATAATCACAAGCACAAAGAAACATCACTTCAGTCCCTCTCTCATCCAATGTAGCTCTCTCCACTCTCTCAGTGCAATCAAGCACAGGAAAAGCATCAGCTGTAAGCACTAAGAGAAGTTATTTCCTTCCACTGTCTCTACCCAAACAGTTCAGTTTTTTCTACAGACAAGACAGGTGATTCTTGAATTTGTGTCCCACCATCCAGATGAGATAAATCACCGAAAAACATCCCATGGAGCAAGACAGAGCAGAGCCCAACAAAAGATCAGATACTTTTGCATCTATAAAGCACATCATATTACTGCACATTTTCAACAGTAGTATCTATACTTTAACTGGACTCCAATCTTAGAACTCAAATACCACTGAACATTGTATCTGCAGGGAGAAGGCTTTGTCCATAACCAACCTCAGGTAACCCTGCAAAAGGTCTCAAATAAAAGGCACGTCTAAAGGGAAAAAAATAATTATGAAAGCATCTTTATTTACATAGGGTTTTTTTTTCTCTTTCCTTAAATAATCACAAGTCAAAACTCCTTTTGCATTTGTAACACGTCATGAATCAGAGGGTTTCATACTAACTGGCACATTTCTTGTGGATAAGGAGACAAAATGCAAGGCTGCAGAAGGAATAGGTTTATGGTCTAAGAGTGAGATTATCTTGATTGAGAATACAAATCATTACCTCTTTACTGGGACTAAACAAAAACTAAAGCAACACCTACTGAGGACTGGTTACTAAGTCTCCCTGCTATCATTTGAAGATAAATAGCCCGGTACAGGTGATATACAGGATAGTCTCATGTTTGCAAGTTCACAATTCATATCCCTAAATCAGGTCCTCTTTAGTATCAAGTATATACAGGCAACAACCTCTCAAGAACTCAACTACTGAAATCCCAGACAAATCAGCTCCATCACTCCCTTGTACCATCTACGCTTTAAAAGCACAATCTGTCACAGGGAAAACGTTGAAGCTCTTCCTACTTAAGTGCTTCTGTCCACAGTGTCCAAAGCAAGAAAGCCATAGAAAATTGCATCTAGTTTTTCCACTTCTAATCACATATGGGGTTTTTCTCTGCTAAACTGGATGGCTCTGTGGCCTCACAGAAAATGTTGTAAATAAACCTTTGAGAGCAGTAACTACTAAGAAATTATAAAGCTTTCTCTTCAGTCTCTCTCTTCAATTAGTGCTCAAAAATATAAACAGTTATACTCCTCTCCCGCAAAACGCAAATGTATACATACAAACAAAACCTTACCAGGAAATCAGCATTAAATCCTCATCTTAGTATTAGTTTCAATATCAGCATCACCATACACCCTATGCCCTGATCAGATAATTTCTTTTATTCAACTCTACAGCAGCTGGAAGATGATGAAACTAAAAGGAACAAAAAAATTCTAGAAGGAATTTAAACGCAATAATTGGGAGTTAAAATCTAATCTCAGCTGCCTGCTGTGACAACCAACCATAAATATTTGCAACTATTTATTTCCAAACCAAAACATGATCCCAGCCCACAGGAGGAGCATATGAGAGTGAAGCCCTCGGGTACTAAACACATCCAACATGCTCATTACTGAAACTTCAAAAGTAAATGATTGTTTCCCATAAAAGGCTAAGATGGTCAACAACCACCCAATATTTAACTACCAAGCCCAGTTATCACCAAATAAAAAACTAAACACACAACAGAGTCAAAGGTATAAGCACATAACATTGGTTCACACTGATGAAAAATTTGACGGGGTTTGTTCCCTGCTGGGGTCTCAAATGTCACCTTTGGGCTTCACTGCTAGCATGATGTTCCTGCAAAAGTCTGAAAAGGCAGATGCATCTCCAGACTTCTTAACAAATTCATACATTTCAGAAATAAGAAAAGCTATACAGAACAATAAAGAAAGTCTATGGGGTAAGAAAAGGGGATGGAGCGAGGTCTGCTTGCTCCTGCAACAAGGGAAAAGAGCAGCTGGATCAACTTCTTCCTTTATACTACTGCTGTGAACATCTACTGCTTTTTGAGATGACTTCGAGAGGGAAAGCAGAGATGATTCTGCAGCACCGCTTCTCAAAAGAGAGCAACTTGGTGCTCAAGGTCGAACAGCGCTCCCTGCAAGTCAGCAATACAGGTGGCCCTGGTACCAGCTTCTACAGGCACATCAGTGAAGAACTCAGTCAAGCAAAACACCCACAATGAGCTTTTAACATCTGGACTTAAAGCTATAAAACCTCAGAATATCTCTTACTGATCACACGCTTACGTGAGCACATTAACATTTTGGAGGAAACAACGTATGATTGTAAAGATGACTGCATATGTTGACTCCTGATTCTCACCAATGAGGTATACAATAAGCTGGCACCTGGACAGCAAATTGAAACAAAGCTACAGGCAAGCAGGGAAGTGAACTGAAGCTGCATCGCAGAAGCTACCCAAAATTACATCTAAATCATAGAAGCTAACCTGCTAGCATCTGTTCTTCTTAAAATGTCTCAGTTTTAGCTTATTTGAAATCAACTTTTGCTTTTCCTAAAGGCAATTTCTGTATTGATAATTTTTCATTAGCTTACATCACCGCCATACCCATATTTAAATATGCTGCAACAGAAGGAGGTATTAAAATGTCAAGTCTTCTCTTGTGAAAATACATTTTTATCCGTTTCTTTTCTATAGCATTTTGGAACGTACAGGGCAACACTAGATTGTTCAGAGATGCACCCATTTATCACATGGCCTGCTTCATACACTTTGATGCACAAAGTGCTGAAACCAGCTAGAATACTTCTTAGTCCACCACAGAGGCCTGAGATTGATAGATACAAGCTCTGTTTTTATACTGCAAATTGACTCTAAAAGTCCTCTGCAGAAAAGCGAGTTTTCATCCTTTGTCTGCAAACCAGTAAAGGAAGAATGTTTTTCTCTTACTGTCTACTGCTTTATTTCTATATTACAAATCATTCTGACCTTCAAGTTCTGAATTATTTGAGTTTACAAAAGGTTTACCTTCCTAGTATATAGCCAAGAAAGAGTTCTCTTGAATGAAACTTTACCATTATTGAGTTAATTCTGCAGTAATGAAAATGGCAGGAGTTCTGTTCAGGGGAAAGTAAAAAACTATCACATTTCAAGTACTGCAAGACTGTTAGTGGTGCCAAAATAAGAAGTCAATTTCAAATACTGTAATTAAAACTCAAAGATCAAGACAAAAGGATTTGATCTACATGGTAAATGGTTTTCTAATTTCTACTGTGGAAGAGTCTGCACAGTCTGATCTGGGCTAACAAAAAAGCTACTCCATTCAACAGCCATGAATTTTAGAACCGATCCCCTGATACTTATTGAGGCTGTTTTTCAATAGCGAGACTCTCTCACTGTATCTGTATCTATACAGTCAGTGTTTTGAGAAATATGAAGACCATTCTGTCAAATATCAGATTACAAATTCTAAAAGCAGAATTTTATGAAGAACTGCTTGAATTTAGCAAGCTGAAGCTCTCTACTCTATCATAATCATTATGACAACTCTTACAATGAAGATGAAGTTTCTTTGCCACCAACATTAGCAGGACAAATTTATTTATAAAAAATGCTTTAAAATGTACTGATAAAAATGCCTATTGATACTGTCAGAGCAGCTTGCAATTTGACAGATCAAATCTTATTTTCATTCTTAAACCCCATGAAGGAATGGTATCACCAACTTGCATTCTGTAGTGAGCAAATTGATTAATCCTCCTCTATAGAAATCTCAACTCTTGATTACACCTATCAGACGTTAAGCAGCATTATTCTAGAGTGACAACACTTGACAAATTCCCAAACCATTTTTCTCAGCCTTTGTGGCCCTGCTAGCTTGTATTAACCCTGATGAAAAATTAATTTTCCTTATCTTCTGCTAAACCCCAAAATCCAAATCCGCCAAACTGGCAACTCTTTCTGTAAAGGTATTATGAAAACCTCTAAAAGATTAATTGCATGTCTTCAGGTGACATTAAATTAATTTCTGTACTTGTGACAGACATTTGATACTCCGTACTGAGAGGACAGATAACATTGTCCGGATACACAGAAGGACAGTGGTGCAGTGTCCCAGGGCAGCCTCTTATGAATTCTCCTTTCGATAAGGCCATACTTCACTGTCACTGGCACTGTTAGTGATCTTGCAGCCCATAGAGCTCACTGCACAGGTTTCTATTAACGACGACAATGCTGTGTCTATCCATGTAATCTTTATAAAGCTAATTCAAAATCACCCAATAGTAAAGGGATGTGCATGCTGGATAAAGAACTTAAAGAAAATAAACTGATTTGGGTAAAAATAACACAGAGAATCAAAATGTTTTTGTCTTTTCTT